GGTGGGCACCACCCTAGGGGTGGTGGTGCCACCGGACAGGGTGGTGGTGCCAGCCCAAACACCTCCTTCTCAGCCTGGCTCAGTCGATCACCGTCACAGGAGTGGCGGTGTACCGGACATGGGGTGGTGGTGCCCCAGGGCAGCACCCCGAGCCAAGTTTCGCCTTCTTTTCTTCACCCCTTTTTCACCACCTATGAAAATGTGCTAACACTCTAAGTGTTTCACCATCACATGCAAGTGTGTTAGCATTTTCACAATCATTTTTCAAAGGTTAATTACTTTCTCACCGATTGTGCACTAGGGCTAAAATGCATATGCAAGTTTTCCAACACCTAGTGGCACTAGATGATCGAGTTGTCCGATAAGAGCTCCCCTCTTAATAGTACGACCATCTATCCTAAATGTGATCACACTCTCTATAGTGTCTTGATCACAAAAAACAAAATAGCCCTATTGATATCACCTTTGCCTTTAGCCCATTTTGTTTTTCTCTTTCTTCTTTTTCCAAGTTCGGAGCTTGATCATCATCACATGTCCACACCACCACCATGGACTTCATTTTATGTGGCCATCTCCATCCATGAGTGCCACCTAGCTCCTTCACTTGGGTTGGACCAACCTATCTCAAATCCACACTTAGAGCATAGGTGAAAGCTCTAGTTTGGTTTTGGTGAATTGATGAAATCCTAAGTGCTAACCTAGTTTATCAAGTGATCATGAGATAGGTAGCACACTCCAAGTGATGAAGCAAATGAAGATCATAGCATGATGATGATGATCAAGTGCTTAGACTTGGAAAGAAGAAAGAGAAAAACAAAAAGCTCAAGGCAAAGGTATAAACCATAGGAGCTATTTTGTTTTGGTGATCAAGACACTTAGAGAGTGTGATCACATTTAGGATTGATAGTCATACTATTAAGAGGGGTGAAACTCGTATCGGAATGTGGTTATCAAAGTGCCACTAGATGCTCTAACTCATTGCATATGCATTTAGGATCTAGTGGAGTGCTAACACCCTTGAAAATGTTTGTGAAAATATGCTAACACTTGTGCACAAGGTGACACACTTGGTGGTGTTGGCACATTTACAAAGGAGGTGGGGTTTGCAGGGTTGAGATGGGTTTGGGTCGATTCGGCACTTTCGGAAAAATGGAATACCTATTTTCTATTGCGCCGGATGCAAATTCTTGTGGTTGGCATATTGGAGCAAGGATGAAGTTAGAAGTGAAAACGAGTTGATCGCAAAGACGCTGGTGTCGATCAACTGACCGGACACTGGGTCTGAAAGCACTGGACCCTGGCAGCGTGTGTCCGGTCAAACTGACGGGTCTGCACAGTACCGAGGGTATTGCACCGGACGCTGGTCTGTGTCCGGTCAAGGTGGACCGAACGCGTCCGGTCGAAGAAATACGCCTCGGGGAGCTTACTGGAAACGATCGGACGCTGGGGCTTCAACGTCCGGTCAATTTTACCGGAGCGTCCGGTCAACTACGTAGCCGTTGAAATCTGACGAATAGCGTTTGAAGCTAGTGACACGTGGCATGAATTAGTGGACCGAACGCTGAGTCCAGGGTCCAGTCTGTATGACCGGAGTGTCCGGTCAGAGCGTGTTTTGCCCAGTGAAGGTGTATAACGGCTCTATTTGATTGGGGCTCTATTTATAGCCCCATGGCCGGCTCAAGCTCACTCTCTTGCACATTTTCATTGACATAGCAACCTTGTGAGCTTAGCGAAAGTCCTCCCACTCATCTCCATCATTGATCCATCATCATTGTGAGATTGAGAGAGAATCCAAGTGCGTTGCTTGAGTGATTGCATCTAGAGGCCCTTGGTATTCGTGCTGCGCTGCGGATTTCGCTTGTTTCTCTTGGTGGTTGCCACCACCTAGACGGTTGGAGCAGCGGTGGAGGATTGGCATGAGTTGGTGATTGTTCGTGGCCATCTCCGGTGATTGTAAGGGGAGTTGTACCTTCCCCGGCGGAGTGCCGAAAGGTAACTCTAGTAAATTGCTCGTGTCATTGAGTTACCTCACTTGTGGGTTGGTTCTTGCGGTGTCCTATCGTGTGGACGAGGTTTGTGAAACACATCTTAGCCGCCGAACCACCAAGTGTTGGTCGACACAACGGGGACGTAGCGTGTTGGCAAGCACGTGAACCTCGGGAGAAAATCGATTGTCTCTTGTCTTTGACATTCTCCCGGTGATTGGCTATATATTCATCTTATGATTGGTTCATCCCCTACACGTCGATATAATCACCCTACTCACTTATTTACATTTTGCAAACTAGTTGATACAAGCTCTTTAGTGTAATTAGAATTGAGAGCTTACTTTATTATTTACATTCATCTAGTTGAGCTATTTAGAGTAGCAAGATTGAGAGCTCTTAGTGGGTAATTACATAGCAAGTTTGTGTGCCTAAGTAATCATTGCAACTAGAATTATTGGATAGGTGGCTTGCAACCCTTGTAAAGTTAGAGCAAGTTTGCATTACGTTATTTGTCATACTAATCAAATTGCTCTAGCTGATTTGTAGATTTTTAAATAGACTATTCACCCCCCTCTAGCCATATTAGAACCTTTCAATAGGGTTAGTCCGAATAGGTTCCTTCGATTAACCAAAACCAAACTAGAGGCCAATTCTTTGGGGATCGATTTTTATTTTCGGTACAACTAGCATCCGGACGTCTGGATGCGGGTGTCCGTCCGGCTAATAACCACGCACTGCTGCTTGGTTTTGCACGGGGTTAAAGGGCGGTGCATGCAGGTCTCGAAGCCTTGAGAGAATTGAATCCGCATGCAAGTTGTTCTGCGGACCTAGCTGATTTGCATGCAAGGAAGACATGCGAGGCATGTAGAGCGACGGAGGCTCAACATTAATTGGATGAGGGAGAAATCGAGAAGAATTAACTTAGCGCTAATTACCTCCTTAAGTGTATAGCCATTACGCACATATGCAACATCCAGATCTACTTCCCAACATTTAGATGAAACACTTGCAACATACATATGAAATAGATGAAACATTTAGAACATACACTTTGCAACATACGTGTATATATAGCCATTGCACACATATGCAACATCCAAATCTACTTTTGCAATATGTAGATGAAACACTTGCAAAATACGTCTAAAATAGATGAAACATTTAGAACATACACTTGAAACATATAGCCATTGCAACATATGTAACATCCCGACCTACTTTTGCAACATACCTCTGAAACACTTGAGATACTGGAAACATATGTTTGCAACATGTGCTTTTAGCGTAACATCTCCTTGCTATTCAACGAATGGAGGCTCGTCGGCGCATGGAGATCACCGGTGTAGATCGAGCTCGCCGGCAACACGGAGCTAGGCGGTGGCGCATAGAGGTTAGGGTGGAGGCGGCACGGGCAACAATGACGACGCAGAGGGCGGATGGGCGTGGCAGCTATGGCGCAGAGGGTGGGTGTGGGCGCAGAGGTAGTAACTATGACGTAGACGGCAAGTGGGGACAACAGCGGTGGTACAGAGGGGGGGTGGTTCGGTAGCAATGACGCAGAGCGTGGGTGGAGGTAGCAGTGACAGCACACAAAGGAGTGGAGGGCGCGCATCTCAGGACCGGGAGTCCTTCCGTCCAGCAGACACCTACCCTTTGCTTTATAAGAGATATAAATTGCAACGTTTGTATTTTCATGATGTCGTAGCTGCTTGCATAATCTCTCCCTCACTCCCTGTATCGGTAATGTCTAGTGGCACCGCGCGACGGGAGGGAGGGTGTTGGTCGTACTGATGACAGGTGCACATCGTGTGACATGAATCATTCGATCATTATCAGCTAGAGAACTGTCGTCCGACGCGGTGCTCCGGATAGGAAGGTCTTGGTTCTAGCATTACCGTTCCATTTTGGGTAGCCAAATCGCCCATGTCTTGGCTATCAGAGCAACAATATTTCTCATGTGCATGACGTGGTAGCACCACGTTGGATAATCTTGCACGCATTAATCATTGGCTTCCAGCCTTCAAATGACCATTCTTATTAAACCATAGTTTGCATTCATTATCCGTTGGAATTTTAATCTACAGATGAAGACTCATATTGAATATATTCTCACGTCATCTTCCGTTGGAATTTTAATCTACAGATGAAGACTCATATTGAATATATTCTCACATCATCTTTTTATGCTAAGTGGGGCCTTCATATCATCATACTCACAGTTGATCTAGATTTTCAGCATGATCACAAACTAAGTGGACCCAGATGGAAGAGATAAGGAGAGGTGAAAGAAAAAATAAAAAATGACAAATGGGTCCCATCCGTCGGTTGCTCATCCCACTTTTGATGTGACAAAACAGAAAACGGATCAGTTCCATCCCTTCTCGACCAAACAGAAAGTGGTGTCATCCTATCCACAAGCAGAGACAGAACCGTCCCATTCCACCTTGATTCCGAACCGAACACTACCTAAATATATATTTGGCCATGCATGGCAAAAACAGGACATGACCAAACACGCCTAGTATGCGGCATGCGGGCGACAGCGTGTAGAGGCGCTGCGACTGTGAGCAAGAGCAACGGTAGCTAGGCTGCAAGAAGAGGCTATTTTTGTTAAAGCTGTCAAAATCTACCTATACCAGGCAACAGTTATATACGTTAGATTTTGGAGGTTTAGGCTTGGCATTGTTCTCTAATCTCTAGTACCAAAGGCTCCGAGTCTCCAACCAAACAGACCTGAAATTAGATGTGAGTCATATATGTTGGATTTTGGAGGTTTAGGCTTGGTATATCGTTCTCTAATCTATTGAGGGTATTCCATCAGTACAATGATTCAGAATTGAACATCGACATACTGAAAAAAAACACACTATAATCTAAACCTACAGATAAGAATACATTAGCGTTGCAACGACTGAAAAAGAAATAAATAGCAGAACGAAGAACTATAATAAGAGCAAACGGATGCTGGCTCTATTTATCACTAGCACTAAATATTGGTACGCAGTACGTCGGCTAAGGTCCACCCTGAGGCATGAAGCAGCAGGCACTGAAGAAGCGACGGCGCCGGAACCATGGCTTCCGAAGCGCGGCCGCTGCCGAAAGTCTGCGGTCCGGATTGCTGTGCAGCAGCCCTTTCAAGACTTCGAAGCCAGCCGGAGACAGCACCTCCGGCGGGAACTTCTTCTTCAGGTAGCCGCGCTCCCCGCGGCCCATCTTCCGAAGCCTGGCCGCCTTCTCGCGCGGCGCCACACGCTCCAGCCCCTTCCACGTGACGATGCCCTTGGTGCCGACCACGTGCAGCATCTCGTTAAAGACCTCGCCGTCCTGCGTGCCGCCAAAGAAAGGCACACCGTCGCCGACGACAAGCTCGGCCATGATGCAGCCGAGCGACCACGTGTCGACCCGGCCATCGTAGTCCTTGGATCCCAGGAAGAGCTCCGGCGCGCGGTACGGGCTGGAAGCTGCCAACAGCCCGGAGTCGTCCTTCTCCGCCTGCACCGCCGGCTCCGACACGCCGAAGCCGCATATCTTGTACACCATCCTGCCGCCGCTCGCGCCGTCGTCTCTGGCACTGTCCATGTCGACGATCACGTTCTCCGGGACGATGTCCCTGTGCAGGATGCCCGCCCTGTGCGCGTGCCTCGCGCCGGCGAGGAGCTGCTCCATGACGTCGCGCACCTCGTCCTCGTCGAACGGCTCGCCATTAAGGCGCCGGACGTCCATGTACTGGCGCAGATTCATGGGCCCGGCGTACTCCGTGACGACGAAGCAGTCGCCGTCAGCGCGGCCGCAGTCGGCGTACGTGGCCAGGAGCTGGACGACGGAAGGGTGGCCGCGGCACGCCGCGAGGGACATGACCTCCCGCGCGAAGTAGCCGAGCGAGGTCTTCACGAAGCGGTCGTCGGTCCTCCCTGAGAGCCGTTTCACGGCGACGAAGCGCTCGAGCACGCGGTCCCAGGCCTTGTACACGTCGCCGAACATGCCTTCGCCCAGCTTCTCGCGGCGTTCGTAAAGCTCCGCCACGGCAGCCAGCCAGGGGACAGGGGCCAACGCCAACACCGCCGCCGCATTGTTCTTCTGCTCCGGCGGCTCCTCCAGCTCCTCCTCAATCTGCAGCGCCGCTACGCCGCCGTTGACGAGATCCGAGGCGGCAGCCATGGATCGTGACGCGGCGCCGACGCGGCTTGGAAGGCCCTACTCGTTGGTGAAGGCGCGTCGCTGCTGGTTGTGGCGAAGAGGGAAGGCTGTTAGGGCCGCTGGGATTATATATTGCACGGACGGACGCGGACAGTGCATCGATCGGATCGGAATCTGCAGCTGCTACGTATAGACCAAAAGAATCTATCCTGTGAATACAGGATTGGGTTTTGCAACCCCTCCGACTCCGATCATGTATACGTGTTCGGAACCTCCGGCCGACTCCGATCCTGTATGTAAACGAAAAGAATCCTGTGCATATGTTTCCCAGTTTCCGTCGTCAACCCTGCCTCGTGTTCGTCAAGGAGATCTGGAACGAGTGCAATGCAGAGCCGCCCCCCTCTGTTCCAACGAACGGGTGACAATTTCATAGAAAAAGGTTGCCTGTTGCTTATTCAACATTTGCAAAGACCACAAAATACTCCTTTGCACTCGACTTGCAAAGCACCGTTCAAGCAGCCGAAAAAAGGAAATATGAGAGATTTAATGATTTGGAGGATTCTACTGCCTTTCATTCAATCGTAATAAGGAAATATGAGAGATTAATGATTTTGAGGATTCTACTACCTTTCGTTCAATCCTAATAACTTTTTTTTATTTAGAATTACACAGTACAACGTAGACATCCACAACACGCATAGTCACTCCTATGAACACACGTATGTAAAACCTACCCCTATGAGCACCTTCGAAAGATGAGCCGACAAATCTTGAAATTCACGAAGTCACCATATGCGTCTCGCTATCGTCGTCTATGGATGAGCCAACAAATCTTGAAATCCACAAAGTCCCCATAGGTGTCTCGCTGTCGTCGTCTACGGATGAGCCGACAAATCTTGAAATTCACGAAGTCACCACAAGTGTCTCGCTGTCGTCGTCTACCACAGAAAGTATAGCGCCGTTAAATCATAAAATAAATACAGGAAAATACGAGCACCCGTGCCAAGTCGAGGATTTGAACCCAGGTGATAGGTTCCACCACAAGTAAACCTAACCAAGTGATCCATGATCAATTTGCATCTGGTAATAACTAATGTGTTTATATGATGAGAACAAAAAACGACACATTTTGTTTCTCATTACATTGTACTCCCTCTATTCCTAAATGTTTGTCGCCACGATTTACGTGCCAATAACTTTGACTCGATTTATAGGAAATACGTGTAACATTTCTATCTTCAAATAAATTTATTAAAAAACTAGACTCAAATATCTATCCAGTGATACTAATTATGTATCATAAATATTAATAGTTTTTAATATATATTTAGTCAAATATATTTCTCGAGAAGCGAAAACAATACACATTTAGGGACGGAGGGAGTAGTAAATTTTATAAAGCACATGAAAAAGAGCATATACTATAGAATACAAACTTGTTAGAATTTTTTTGGTTAGTATTTGGATGTCTAAGTGAAGGTATGTAACAATTTCCAAAATTTTGAAAATTCACATAATCAAAAAGGCGAATTTTTCAATGGTCTACTCATGTCCAAAATACAAAAAAGTCTAATTTTCGATCATGAACACATAGAAATCATTTGCAAACGCTTGACTTATTTTGGCAAATGTTGGCTTATTGAGCTACTGAACAGGACTGAAGTCCGGAGGAACTTTATGAGGCAAACTGGGACCATGCAAAAAAACATATTTTGGTCCCTTCAACTTTTAAATCTATTTGTTTTTGCACTATGGATATTTTAGATAATGGTTTTGGTCTTATGTAGCGCCACTCGCCACATCTATTGTTCTACGTGGCGTCATGTTACCTATGAGGTGATATTTTAGGCATAAATTAGACTACAAATATTTTTTTGAGAAAGTTAGCCAAGTATGTCTTTGGAAAATTAGACAAATAAAAAAAGTCATAAAATCTGGTTTAATATTACAAAACTCATAAAAATAGTTTTAGCTCGAGAAAAATATGAAACCGGTTTTAGTTTTTCCCTAAATTACGCTCTTATATATTTTTGTTATTATATATATATAGTTAGCTACTACATCATTAATACCTGGCGCAGCATGTTATAAACGGCTGCTTTAGCTGACTGTAAGTTTGCATGTATTTTTCTTCTCTCTTCTCTGACTCACCATATATAAATCTAATGTGGCGGCCTTTTGTAACCTACTTACATTACCTTATAATACTTGCACGGGACTAAAAACTAATTTTATAGATTAAGGGGAAAAAATTAGAGAGTTAGTTCCTCTGCAATGGACTGTACGGTGTATTTGTCACTAGCAAATGGGCCTGATGAGTATTAGGTCCAGCTGTAGATGACGAAGGTACAGGTGAATCGAGGATCTGTTGCTAAAAAAAAGGTGAATCGAGGTTCTCATTTTAAAAATCAGGCGTTTGTTAAACTTTTTTTTATTACATAGTATAACACAGGCATCCGCAATGCATGCACACTAACTCTTATAAAGGTACACACGCAAATCCACCAATGAGCAACTTCGAAGACCGGGCTGGTAAATCCTCGATATTGACGAAGTCACTATATACGTGATGAGGACATCAACACCGACGACGCATCCGCGCCGAAACCAGTACCTATCGCTGGTCCTCTTACTCGTGCTCGTGCTCGTAAAATTAATTATCAAGCGAGTTGCCTCTTGAGCTCCTGTCCATCTTGTTTAGATCTTGAAAACGCGTGCACTCTTGTTTTGATTAGGAACCAAGGAGAAGACCGAAAGGGAGAAGGATTCGCGATGGCTGGATTCGGACTGCAGAAAGGCACCAACTTGTGACCATCACCACGGTTGCATACGGAGTCGGATTCGGACGCTTTAGGACTTGTTGGAAACCTTATCAAGTCTACTTTCATATGGAACCAGTTCCACGTCCATATCTGTTCGGCAGCATCGGCAATTATTCAATTTCCGTCGAGAGGTCTTTATGTCCAGGGTGCTGCGTCACCTTATTTTAGTCCGATGGGCTGTGTATCGTCTTAGAGTCCATTAGGGACGTGTCTTAGGGTTGGAGTACGACCCAAACACCTTGTTGGTCGTCCACCCCATGTTATATACCCTTTGGCCGCCGCCAAGACACTCGGGTTTTGTTTAGATCAAGTTTAGCCTTTGCTACTTGCTTGTAGGCTGCAGCGTCGATCTAGTCGCCTGTCTCCTTGTCTTCGGAACCCCACTCATAATAAGATTCAGTTTGAGGTTTTCAATTTCATCTTGCAAATTCAGTGCTTGTTTCCTTGTTCTTGCTAGTTCTTCGATTGCTTGCGGGACGGGAGCCCTAGTGGTCTGGTTGTCGTGCTCCACAAGATCGTGACGGCCTTTGGAGGTGGTGTATCGGTTGCTAAGGCGCGATCTTGAAAGGTCAGTAGTCGGGCCGTGAACGTCATCTCCATCCACCAAATCGAGTTATCTCACGCCTCTCATCGAAAGATCGTCCACAAACCCTAGCGGGTTCTTATCAATTGGTAATCGAGCAAGGTTTATCGGTGAGAGACTTGCAATTCTTCATTGCTTTTTATTTTTCCTACTGATCCGAGAAAAGCCAAAAAATAGTAGATTAGTTTCCGCAATCCTATAAACCTTTGGGCCGTGGCTAGTGCTACCTAGTTAGGGCTTGTTGAGTCGTCGGTTGCATCGGTTGTGTCAAGTTGTTGGTCTTAGTTTTAGTCCTTTAGAGTTTCGAGTTCTTGTCACGTTCTAGTCACAACCGTTGCACGTTTGAGTGGTTATTCGAACCACTTAAGTCATACCATATTCGAATCTAAGCAGGTTTGGTGATCCATTGTTTCGAATCTAAGTAGATTTTGGTGATTCATTGTTTCCGAATCTGAGTAGGTTTGGTGATCTAGTTATTTTGAATCTAAGTTGTTTTGTGTGTGCAAGTCCAAGTTTGAGTTGTCAACGAATGACTCAAGTCATACCATACTTGAGTGATCTTACTCTAGAGAGAGAGAGAGTGTGTGTGAGTGGTGAGTTGCTCATTTGTCATCTCTCTATTCATATAATCAGTTTTGAGTGTCTCCTGAAAAAAAAAAAAAAAAGGAAAAGAAAAAAGAAAAACCAAAAGAAAAGAAAGAGAAAAAGGGCTGTTTTGTGATTGTTCGTTCGCTTGTGTGGTGCGTTGTGCCTTCGTTTGTGTCGGGCTCGCGTCTCTAGCATGGTCTAGGCTAGGACCAAAGACAAGACTGCCGGTTGAACGATTATTCAGCTTGCTTTTTATAACTAACGTGGTGCTAGTTGTTCCTTTGTTTTCAGCCCACCTATAGCTCCACATATTTTACTGACTTGATGTGTCTTGTCTTTGCGGCACCGATACACTTCATCCATTCTTTGCAGACTTGTTGGTGGCGACCCCTCTTGTCGAGCAAAGTAAGAATTGGTAAGAACTTGTGTAACATGTTGAGAGCGACTTTTGTAGCTACTTCCTAGTAGTTGTAGGGCTTTTATCTCTTCACTTGTTTTCGTGTTGTCTTTGCCTTTGAACCATGACAGGTCGGTGATGATAAAACTATTCCACATTCACCTCACACTAAGGGCATCATACAACATTTTGAAAGGAAAGTGAAGGCACACCGAGGGCCTTGATAGCGACTTGCGGGTGACAAATGAAAAGCTTGGGCGGGTTGGAGGCAACGCAGATTGCCACCAATAACAAGCTCGCAAGTTTTGAGGAATCTGTTGCTAGTGTGGACAAAAGCCTTGTCGCTCTTCTAAGGCATTTTGATGCCTTGCACAATGATGATAAAGAGAAGTATAAAGAAGAAAAGGAGGCGGGTCACGAGGATGGGGGTGATGGCGTTGACTACTAATCTGGTGATACTAAACATGATGATCGAGACACTCGTGAACGCCGTCGCGCTCGTCACAACCGTAGAGGTATGGGTGGCAAACCGCCGACGCGAGGTACACAATAATGACGATGCCTTGAGAAGATTAAATTTAAGATACCTCCTTTTGATGGTAAATATGATACGATGCATATATTACTTGGG